TCCCTAACATATTTACTATCGATTTCTAATAATGGTCGCACATGATACTCATAGTAATCAGTTATGTCTGTATCATCAAATACAAGTGTCACAATTATTTTATTTAAATTGAAACCAGGTAAATTAAAAGTTAATTGTTGTAAATTAGAAATCGCTTGATTAAGCAAAGATAAATTTTTCATAAGAAACAATCGGTGTTCATCAGAGACAATCCCAAGTACCTGCAAAAACAAGAAAAAAATATGTTCTGTTTATTTCAAGCGTTACTCTAAAATGATTTGTCCTTAGATCTCTTTTTATAAAAGGCCCTCATTTACATGCTAAGTCATTTTTATTAAATGCTAAGTAAAAAGTTATCTTTTCTAAGTAATTTATTAAAAATACTTATATTTTTTGAGAAAAAAGCAGACATGTGGTTTAGTGGCTCAGCCTCATGCTCTCACGCACTCCCCCTCACCGTCCTCAGCCACACAAAAATATAGCTTACTAAAGTAGGAATTAACTTAGCTAATTAACAAAACTTAACTTAGCATTCAGGTAGGTTTACTTAGCAAAAAAATAGTATCCTTTATAAAATACCTTAACTGTGCAACGTTTTACCTTCTTTTCTTGTTATTGCGATATATTTTTTAAAAGAACTTTCAAAAACAATTAACTATGCTCTCTTTTGGTGAATATTTCTTACTATTTCTTCATTTTTTATTTGTTTATTGTTTTTTCTGTTGTACGGAGGTTGTTCAAAGATATAGTACTAGAACGGGGTCGAAACGGGCGAGATTTTGGTCATTTTCCTGCCGCGAAAAGCTTTCTTTTCGTAAGAATGAAACTTCCTCTAAAGTAGTATGTTTCGATAGAACTTCAGTTTTGAGATATGTGAACAAGAGATATGTGCAGTGAAAAAATGTGAAGCCGGATCTAAACTTTTTTCACGTTGGAATGCTGTAGGATTTATAGAAGTAGAATAACCAACATTTACGTACATGTTCACATATTCGGGATCATCAGAAAAGTAAAAATCAGTGCGAAGCTAAAAGCACCAAGAGAAAAAGCAGTGACAGAATAAAAAGTATAATACGGCTGCGAGGAACATTTTAAATTAACTATAATCCACTTGAACTATTTATTTCGAGTTTCCGGTATGTGCTCTCATTATCGTCAGGGAACAATATGCCAAGATAAGCAAAATGATCCCTAAACTGAATTATCTGGGTGAGCGTGAGCTCCTCACCACTTTTCCCAGGTAACAGTATATATGTTACAGTTAATACATGTTGGCGATAACTAGCATGAATTACGACTACTGAAATAAATTCCTGGTACAACTTCAAATATTCCATCAAAGAAGAAATCCTGCAAGGCAGATTTGTTTGATTTCGTTGTGATTCTCCTTGTAATCTTTCATAGTACTGCCGAACGCAGGAAATTTTCTAGCGAGCAACTGTCCTGTTCCCCTTCAAAATATCGATTCGCGGTAATGGCGGGAGCGCCTAGATGTCGGGGTCGTTCAAATGTCGATCGCTCAGGTATCGGTCACACAAACGTCGGTTACTCAAGATTCCAACATTTGATTTTTCTTGACATACCCTGTAATAGATCAAAAACTCAGTATTACTGAGCCTTTCTTCTCGAGTTATGACCATTTTAAAAATGATCATAACTCGAGAAGAAAGGCTTGTGGACACGAATCTGTCTAGAGTTTTTTACTAGCTCACTATGCTCTATCAATCGACATATGAATCCTTGAAAACGGAGTGTACCACCCCGGGATGTTCTCTCGTAAGTGCAACCACATTTATTGAAATTGAATGTGCGATGATCGTGCTGAACATATATGTTAAGCGATTATCAAATCAGCTAATATAAATTTATATCTACTATATGAAAGTAATCAGCCTTGAAAGCATAAACTTAGCCTTATTAGATATCTCGTTCTCTACTTTTAAGTGAGGGACTCAATAACATTTCGATGGAAAAGTTTGAACAAAAACTGAAGACAGATCAGATTCCGGTCACATTCTTTTGTAAGACTCGATAACTTTGTATTGTAACATTGTATTGTTGAGGGTACCCGCCCCCTCTTTTTTTATCCTCTTGGAAACTAGGGAAGCCGATGTCGAATCGGGTTCTAATTTATATCAGAGGTAGAAACGTCGAAAAAGAAAATCGATATATTTTTATCCAGAATTTTCTGACATGTTCTTCTATGGGTTTTCTGGAAAACTCCAGTTTTCATTGGCACACATTAGGACACCTCGAAAAAATGGTCCGATCGAGCTCAAACTTTTACCACACATACTTCAGCCCCTATCTCAGGTTCGTTTTTTCTTTTCAAAAGATATGCTTTCCTTCTCGAGATATCCTAAAAATACTGAAAATCCATGTAAAAAAACGGTTTTTCATTCTGAAAACCTTCTCACGCCGAAAGTTGAAATTGAAAACGCTTTTAAAGAAAAAAGAACCTGAGATAGGGTCTGAAGTATCTGTGGTAAAATTTTAAGCTCGATTGGGCCATTTTTCGAGAGGTCGTAATGTGTGCCAATTGAAGGGACTATTGAAAAATCTATTGAGAAAATAATGAGAAAAACACATATTGTACACAGGGCTCTGTTTTTCAGGGCATTTGCGGCTATGCTTATATCTCTAAGAAAACTCATCGAAAGATTCCGGAAAACATCTCATTTTTAAGAGCACACTTTCTTCCATCATGCTATATATAAGAAAAAATTTTGAATATATAGAGAAAAATTTACGAACCTAAAAAATTGAGATTTTCTAGCCTTTGAAGGATAGACTTAAAAACTTCATAATTTTTTCAAGGAAGGTCATGGAAAGCTGGGAGTGGTCTTATTTAATAGCCCAGACTTTTCTCTATATCAGACTATGATCAGTTCAAAAGGACAACTTTTCTGCAGAAAAGAGGGGGGGCGGCTACCATTAATGTACTGCCGAAGAATCCGGAACTGGTCTACATTAATAAATCACATACTATTTTCATTTTGTATTGGTTGACTGACACTGCACATTTGATCTGTGGTTGATAAGACAAATTAGCCGTATAACATATATACTTTCTTGTACTGCGGTGTAGGAAAGTGTGAAATCTCAACACGAAGGTCCTCAAGTAAAAATCATGGCTTAGTGAAATCTCTTCGACGTACAACATAATCGAATTCCTAATATCTATGAGTCCCAAATAACCTTTCTTTAGAAAGTAATGGCCGAACTTTCATACGTTGTTTCCTTCCTTTTCGTTTCAGTATAGTTCAGCAGCATCATGAGTCTACTATGTACATAAATCAACTCACATGCTCGAATCTAGTATTGCTCATCAGAATTTTTCAATCATTTCAGAAAACTCAGAATATCAGAAAGTCAGAAAATTATATAAGTCAGTGCAATCGCTCGACTCTTGAAGCATATTTCTAAGCTTAAAATGACTGTCGAAGTAAAGTCTGTACTTGGACATTTATGCGAATTACCGGTTTCATTTCCCTTTAGTTAATTTTTATCCTATTTTCCATCACCTGTGTAAAATACTTCATATGTTTTTATTCCATGTAACAGTCTACCACGTTTTGTTGGCTTATTTTCACATACGGGCTTTTATCCCTTATTTAAATGCTTATTATTATCAATCTTTCTAGAGACGGTGGAACTACAGGAGCCGTGGGTGTTGGGCACATTTTGAAGATTTTCTTTTTATTCCAGTAGAAAATTCTGTTTTTTTCTTGCGCTCTATAGACTTTGCCCCACGAAAAATACTACTCGCCCACACGGTTTCAAGATCGTTCCGCTGCCTCTCAGTATTTCTGCTTTCCAATATGCACCAGGGCTTCTTTATTTTTCTGTTCTTTTCCCTCTTGTCGACGATACATGAAATAAATGGCATACGATAGTTCAGGTTATTCTTCTATTCTCTCACCCTCCTTACCACTTATTAGTGATTGTTCTTTTGGGTTTTACTTATTTCCTTTTTTTTGATTTTTTCTTTTTTTGTTTTCTTTTTTACTTTTTTGATAAATTTGTTTCATGTGCTGTGTGTTGCTAAAAGAATAACAAGAAAACCAAATACATACCTTTTTGGTAAACAATTTTCTGTGTTTATCGCATGAATTTACTTCGGAAATACCGTTTCACTGTTGTCCTTTTGGTCTCTGTACTTCTATTTATTTTACAAATGCTTCCGAACGGCTTAAGTAAACCGATGCATAATTACAAAAAAACAAAAATTTCTATATGCATTATCTCCGGTTATCATGACCCAAAGAGAAAGTCGGAAAGTCATGGGTAGTCAAGAAGTACAGCTTGTCTAGCTGCTGAATATAACACAAGAAAATATGATTTATTAAACGTTAACCACCAATATTGAGAGCTAAATATCGCAAATCTAATAGGGGCCCTTTTCCAAAAAAATAAAAATATCAATATATAGTACACCTCATGTACTTCAAATTAGTATAAAAAGTGGAAAAGGATCCTCTCTAGTTAGTTTAATTTTAATTCGAGAAGTTGGCAGAATACAGGATAAATTTCCAGTGAGTACTGCTTCTTTAGAACATAGAATAAATGACGTCTAGACAAAACCTGATTCCGAATATGTAAAAATATCGAAGGTTGCTTCTTCGAAAGAGATCCTCAGTACTAGTCTTCAGGACAGCTATGCGGTTAAACAGTACGTTCATTCTTGTATTCTAAAGTTTAATTCCGTCAATAAACAGCATAGTTTCAGGCCTGCTTCCTGTACGGAATGTGCGAAAGATTGAACAGAAGCACAACCGTTCAAAATCCCAGAACGACTACATCAGCAATACGAGTACCAATGCTAGACACAGTCCGCATAAAGATAACCGACCGATCAAATGTGGTGAATTAATTACTGCTTCTTCTTGTTTTTCGCTGAATTGAAATACTTTTGGAGCTCTGAGAACTTATCGTTTTCTCTTTAATTTCCGTTTAAGTCCTATTATTTTTTAAGATTAATTCAGTGATATATTTTGAGATTATGAGTTATAAGCAGAATAATGTTTACAATTTTGATCATGTCGATGATTACCATCTCTTCGAATACGATTGTAATTAGCTAAGCAAGCCCAACAAAATTCATGTTTACATTTGATACATGTCATATGATCACATCCAGCATCCTTCTCTATTTGTGCTGAACAACCGGGACAACTTTTTGTGTTTTGTGTTATCCATTGTTTTGTTAATCTTACGCTCACGTTTGTCTGTTCATCGTATTGAGCACATGTCAACCCTTCGTGCCATTCAACTTTATGTTCGAAACATGTTTTTCGATGACACTTCACACATGTCATGATATTCAAAATCTCTTGGCCTTCGTTTAATTGACCGGAGCCACATCGATGTGCACACCAAATAAACTCATACATTTCTTCTAGCTTTTGTTGTGTATAAAAACGATCATATCGATCAAATACCTCTTTATTGTGATTATGCTGTAATACATATTTAATCGTATGATAACCAAATTTAATTTTACAATCAATTTCAGGACATTTCCCGTCGTCATTACACATTTTGCCAAATTCCTGTGTTACGTGCTTATAAATACATGTGTCACATATTTTTCGTTGGTTGTGCAGACATCGGTTGCTGTATGTATGAGTAAAATTCTCAACTACTTTGTCTTCGTAACAAACTTGACATGTTTGCGTTAGCTTCTTATTTATTCTAAATATTAAAATGAAATAAATCGTAAATCTTTTCTTTAGAGAATGAAGCTTACGTTACAGTTTTATTATCTGCACATCCCAAACAATAGTATTGTTTATTTCTACGTATATAGTCGTCATCTAATAAATCTGTTGAACACTTTTGACAAAACATTGTCTCTTTTGTTTTCGCTTTTCCTAATTAGTTGAACAAGAGTATAACGTTATCTTAGTATGCTTTCAAAAACTTCAAGGATGCAGATTTTATAGAATGACTTTTTTTGCTGGTTTTTTCCTTATAGAAAAGAAAATTTTTTATGACATCATTTTCTCGTTGCTCTTCTCTTTTCTTCATTCCATTAATATTAGACGTTGATTGTTCGGTACTTCTTCGGAGGTAACTGAGAAAGAGTCGAAAAAAGTATACAGAACAGCGTAGAAACAGAGTATCATAACATTTTAGCAAACAACGTAGAATATTAATGGAATGAAGAAAAGAGGAAAGCATCAAGAAAATGATGTCATAAATGATTTTCTTTTTACAAGGGGAAAACCAGCAAAAACAGTCATTCTATAAAATGCTGCAGACTCACCAACTCGCACAGCTTTAATGCAGATATCAGTAATATCTTTCGCTCGATGCATAGAAACAATAAAGAAAGAGATGCATTGGCACTATGTACGAGGGCGGTTAGAATACACAAATAATGTGTGAAGTACTTTTGTCTAAGAAGATGTGGCAGCAGCATCGATCAAATTTTAGCGACCGATTTTTTTATTTTAGTCGTATTCAACCCTCTTACTTTTCATATTTTTCATACTGAGATTCTACAAAGTGCGCTGGATTCTACATACCTCAGTAGATGTCCACTGTTTCGCACTTCTTGCTTGGAAAAACTTATTAAGCAGCTCACTCCCAGATAGTAAAAACTTGAAACGTACGAAAGATTGAAAGGGATGAAAGTAGGGAAAGTAGAAAAACATATTTATGTTGCATGATGAACCTTAATACGCATGGACTGACAGGGTCACCCCACTACTACTCTCCGTTTCAAAATGGTTGGCACTCGGTTGCTTTTTGAATAACTTTTGATAGGAATGAGATAGAGACCTGCGATTTTCGCTGTTCAATAGCCAAGA